AACACACCTGAGCCAGGTAATCAGCAGCAGGTCAGGCAGGGATAGTTGGAAAACAAGCAGGACAGCGGCCCTCGAGGACTGGAATTGGCCATCCCTGGTTTAAGCATTAACCTCTTCATAATGCACTGTAGATGCTGGTTCTCTTCACTTCTAGATCTAATGAGCCTTATGTATCCGTATTAAGCAAGGTAATGAAAATGTATGGGTGAGTAACACTTTAATATCCTAAACCATCCACCAAACTGAAAATGAACCAATCGGTCCCTCTAGCGTTGGAGATCATTAGATGAAATGTGGCCTCAGAGGAACACTGTAATTTATTCATATTTAAAAGAAGAGAGTCAGCAATTTTATATGCAAATTTCTATATCTTTAGATGGAAAGAACCAGTAGTTGTTACTTCAGTTAAAAACTTGATCTGCTTTTGCTGAAGAAGCTTGTCTAACATAATGAAAGTCCAATTCCCCTGACCCATGAGTGAAAACAACTACTTAATCTTTTATAAAACGAGACATTATGGCCTTAATTTATACAGTCGAGTTTAATCTACAGGGCAGCTGTCATTCTTACTGTATTTGCAGCACAATTTTGAGTGAGTAGGGGAAGAGAGGTTCAAATACAGAAACACCTGGTTGCTGCTCAGTACACTTTTGCCTGCCAAAGTCCTTTCTTTCACTCATTCTCTACCAAAAACACAGAGAAATGACTTGGCGGCGGGGGGCAGAGAAAGGGAGCAGAGCAGAAACTTGGACAGCTTCTACGGTTTAGCAGAAATTCTTAATGTGCCATCTGTGGTTAATATTAGAACAACAGCAGCGACACTCGAAGCTCACTCAAACAAATGACAAATGTAACCACAAGCCATTAATGCTGACATATCTAATGTTCATGTTACATACTGGGCAAAAAAATCACCTTGATGGAAGAGAAGTTTTATGTCATAGTGCTGTCAATCAAGTCAATCGGCACTTTCCTCTCTGCAGACTAGTGGTTTAGTCAGCCCATAACATTACAGGAGAAGTCTCCTGAAATCTTTATTGTATTCTTTTAAAGACTCAGCTAACACAATTAACTCCATAACTATGTTTATATTTGTTGTGTGTGCATAGTTGATGGTCTGTTTTCTCAAAATAATAGCTGCATTCAAAGACATAAATAGTGAGATTAATTTTAATCAAATTTGAAAACTGTGTCTATCATACTTGTAAAAGAGAAGGCGGCGGTCAGAAGTTTTTCTGGAACATGTTGAAATGTTCTCTGTGTAAGGGTTTTGTGCTGTCACCTCCAACAACCGCCCTACCTGCTATCACCTAAGACATCTTGTTCACAACTGACAGTGTTAGAGCGCCATCTCCAACGCAGAGTCACTCAGAGAGGAGGTGCACATTAAATGTGATATACATGGTGGTGTGTTTGCTACTGTTTGAATGTGTTCGATGTAAATAGGCCTGGAAAAGCTCAGCAAACTGAGTGAGAAAGCTTTAAGTCAAAACCTGTATAGCCGTTGTGTATGCATGTGCAGACATTCCTCCTAACCTGATAATTCGCCATCTCAATGAGCTGCTCCATGTCTTTATCCGGGTGCCTCTGTTTCAGCTCCTTCAGCGTCCTCGCCATGTCCCTCCTGGCCTCGTCCTCCTCATCCTTTGCTCCTCCCTCTTCCATCATTCCTCCATCCATCCCACTGTGACAGTTCAGTGCCATCTGTCCATCCAGCTCCAACATATCCATTTTGGTGAACCCTCCCAGACCCCCTCCTCTTATGTCCATGCCTCCTATCCCTCCATCTGCCCCTCCTTCGGTCTCAATGATGATGCCGCGGGTCTTGTCAGCACGGTAACGCTTGTGGACATACTTGTAAAAGAGAAGGCGGCGGTCAGCCACCCAGGCCTGGACCACGCAGAGGGGGAAGCAGAGGAAGGTCAGCACGGCTTCCCATATCTAAAGGAGAGAGCAGACAGAGTTAAGACCTTTTTCCTTCCTTATTTGCTCCCCTTGTCGTGACATCTCAGCTTTTATCTTTTCCTCTTTCAACGGCTTTCATTTCTTTCCATCCTCACCTCCACCTCTCCAGGCGAGAAGACACTCAGAATTAGGTAGAGCCAGATGTAGGCAAAGATACTCCATGCTGCAGTGACAAAAAACACCCGCAGGTGTTTGATTTTGCGTGTCTCTCCATCAGGAACCACGTACACACACAGGGCGATGATGATGAACATGTTGAAGGCAGCACTACCCACAATGGTGCTGGGACCCAGGGTGCCAGCTTCGAAATTGTGACCACACACCTATAGGTGGGGTGAAAATCAGATTATTGTGTTTCCATTACATTCTGTATCAGTTAATCTAATGTGTAACCACTGAGCTCATATTGTACCGACCTCAATAACAGACAGCAGTATCTCGGGGGCACTAGAGCCCAAGGCCATTAGAGTGAGATTAGAAACAGTTTCATTCCAGATCCTGACTGTAGCCGTGGTGGTGTCACCATTTGGCTTTTTTATGGTGATCTCCTTCTCTTGGGATGTTATGACCTAGAGAGAAGAGGAGAGGAAAATAAAGAAAGAAATAGTACCATCATGAAAAGGAAAGAAAAGTATAGAAGGCACAAGGAAAGGAACTTGTTAAGGAAATTCAAAAAAGGAAAGTAAAAGAAAAGAGGGGAAAAGGAAAAATAATGGCAAGTAAAGG